TCTCTTGTTATAGTGAAGCACTGATCATGCAAACTTGTCAGAGTTAGCTGAAGTTCATTCTGGTGATTTCCTTTGGATTTCTTGTCTAAATATCACAGTCCCTGAGGTAAATACTGGCCAATTTCTGCCCTGCAAAGTGTGAAGCATTGCCATGCCCTTCTCCTCACAGCCTTCTTAAGACAACCAGTCAAGAAAACTACTTTTGCTTTTACACCTAGAAATAAACTACCAAAAGAAGACAGAAAGGATGTTGGTTCTGAGATGTCCTATTTTTTACTTCTAGCATGCAAAATCTAGTATAATCACAAGTATAAGTTATTTGCTGATGGGACCCACAGCAAACCAACACAGCAGCACCACTACTAACCTGGAGTTTCACTGGTGGTCTCAGCAGAGGCTAAAGAAATCAATTGCAAACTCTGAATCTTTTTGTCAAAATTGATCTGGTAATTAAATATTTACTTTCAAGACTTGTCTCAGTCCTATTTCCAGCTCAAAATTACAGATTTTTGAGAAATATCTTACCTCTTCACCTACATGCTAAAAACCAATCTCTTCCATTTTTGTAAGGCTAGCAATTTTTTTAATACAATTTTCTACATCTTATATTTTTTCACTTCATGAGCCATCAAAAATGTTCCTATTAATGTAGCAGTCTCACTTTCACTTTCCCCAGGGCAAGTCTCTGGGAGCAGCTGCCACCAGCAGCCCTGAACTGCCTAAAGGAGAGGATGCTGTGCACAGCCCCAGGCATGCTGGAACTCCTCCTGCTGGATTGACAACTTGGAAAATCCCAGTATTTCCAAAATCCAAACTTGGGAGCTGTTCTTAATCTGTCATCAGCTTTTTAAGAAGAACCTAAGAACTGTCTGGGCATTCATAGAAAAATTGAAAACGTCAGACGCTCCTTCCTTCCCCCTGACCTATGTGCAGAGCTGTCAGAATGGACCGTGGCTTGGGCCAGCACACTGTTGAGAGGATCAGAAACAGCATTTCACCAATCTTGGGCTGGATTCAGCCCACTTCAGGCTGGGTCTGGCAGATGTGAAATGTCAGCAGCCACTTCACCAGCGGGTAGGTCCAGCAGGGCACAGGCAATGCTTGCAGTGGTGCCAGGAGGTCACAGTGAATCACATCCTGCTGAGCAGCACACGGTGCTTCCCAACCTGCCTGCCCTGCCACAGCCCCTGGGGAGGGCAGAGGCTGATGTGCCTCAGGGAAGTCCTGCCCCAAGGATGTGCCAGTCTCTTCCTTCCCTGCAGCACTGGGAAACCTCCCCTGAGGCAAACAATCAGGTGTAGCAGTGTGTGTCACCCTATTTCACCACAGCTTGTTGGGTACAAGCGGAAGCCGCTGTTGCGCTTGCCTTCTCATGAGCATCCAAAATAGCTGCTTATAGGTAACTATTCCTATCCTCCTAACCAATGCCACAGAGAAGGAAGACAAGCCACATCAGGGATTTACTGGCATCCCCTGCTGTGCTGCCTGCTGCAGCTCCATGACAAATGGCATTTGCTTGTGCCAGCCAGTATCCCAAGAACAGGAAGAAGGCTGCGAGTTTGACAGTATTTTATCTGCTCACGGGTCGACAATGGAGGATTCTCCTTTTAAAAATCAACTCCCACTTGCTTTCAGCCAGAGGTTTCTGGAGCAGCAGGAATTTGCAAGGAAGAAGGGCCAGGTGTGTAAGCAGATCTCCACCACGCAAAGTGGCAGGGGCCGCCTGTGCTGCCAGTCGGTGACCCATTAACCACCCTGCGAGGGGACAACCTCACGCGCAGCTGCGGCAGTGGCACATGGCCAGCCCCGGCCCTGCCAGCCCAGAGAAGAGGGACAGTATTGCAGCCTTTGACGTCATTCCAGAGGGATCAAGCTCAGACATCTGTCCCAGTCAGAGATTGCGCATGGCCCCCCCAGAGAACAGACACATTGTGCAATGCCAAAACAGACTTTACCAAGGAATCGGGCACATCCATGCCTGACAGCAACGCAGCTCAGCGCTGTCAGGATCAGCCTTGAGTGGGTAGAAACGGCAAGAGTTTGGCAAAAAAAATTATGAAAGTCTGCTCAAAAAGCTGTTTAATGATTTGCCTTTAGGCAAAAACATTTTAAAATAGAGGGGAGTCACTGTGCAGTAGCAAAATGATGGCAAAAAAAACCTGTTTGCCTTCACAAGCAGAGCTGTTTGCATGGGGTATAGGAGAGGGTTTCTTGGATTTTTTCTTTTTTTGGGGGGCATTACCTAGTACAAATGGGCTTCGAAAAGAGAAATAAAGGATACAAATATTCCAATATCAAATATCAGTAAGCATGAGTGTGTGGAGATGCTTAGGTCTTCTCTGGGTAAAAGAATCAATGAAAATTCACGGGAAAGCCAGAGGATGGTGATGCTTTTGGAGATGGTGGGAGGGAGAGAAATCAGAGCACACAAAAAGGCTCCAAGGCAGCCAAAGGAACTGGACATGGGCAGGAACACAGAAAGCCCCAGGCCACTTGACTGAATGCTTGGGGCAAAGGTTTCAACGCTGAACTCATGTGTGGGATGTCACCTCCAAGGAGAACACGAAGGGCCAACATTTCTGTCCAGGCAATAGAAGATGAGCAATGGAGGGACCACTGGGCTCGAAGGTGGGCCAAAGAATCAAGAGTTGGAGGTTTTTCAGAAAAGGAATGAGTTCTGTTTTTCCCATAAAGGGCTGAACAGAGCTGCTGGTGGATCTGCAGCCTGTCGGGGCAGAGCCGGACCAAGTCCAGGCATCCCGGCTGAGGCTTAGCTGTGCCATGGCTTTGCTGCAAACCAGCGATGGGAAGGTGTCCCAGTCATCAGAGCCCAGTGGGTGCAATGAATCCTCATAAAAATACAAGGCAGCAGAAAAGCTTCAGCAACCCAGAACAAGAAGTGGGGAAAGCAATAAAAATGCTGAAAGAAATTGTCTTGAGCAGAGGCTCCTGAGCCACACTGGAAGGCAGCCTCTGTGTGGGACAGGGCCAGCCTGAGGAGTTGGCAGTTCTCGACCCTGTTTTGGAGCCCACTGAGACCCAGACAGGAGACAAAAAAATTTTGTCAGCTCAATTACTGCCGCCTCCTCCTCCCTCACACCCACTCTTGAGAGGAAAATGTGCCAGGAGCCTTCTTTGGCTGCCTTCAAGGCCCACAGACCTGCCGAAGAGCCACGTGGGCTGCTTTGAGGGGCCGTCTTGAACAGCCGCACTTTAATGGAGCTGCAGGATTTACCTCCTGAAACGAGACCAAACTGTGACCCAGGATGAGCGTAGCCCTAAGTCCCAGGTCTAACATAGTGTATGGGGAGCGGGAGGTAAATCAGGCAAACTGCTGGAGGTTCACTGGGCTTGGCTCATTGCAGTGCTATATATTCAGAGAAACTTAAAACAGCTTAGATGTATTGTAGCAGTAGAACTCCTTGCTTCGCCATTTAACAGTGTCAAAGGCAGAAAGTTTTTTACAAGATGCCAGAAAAAGTATCAAGAAAATAAAAAGAGCCTTTTAACTAGTCCCTTGAGAATGTTTTAGCCATAGGCCAGGCTAAGAAAGCACCGAAAAGTCTACAGGAAACTAAATACGTGGATAACAAATCTAAACACCCTTATTTTACAAGACCCTTTCCCACAGCCACCGCTGATCTGAATAGCCTGAACAAGCTCCATTAGATTTTATCTGGGAACTGGCAAAAGGGGCTCGATCTGCAAGAGAGGAACCAGATGCTTTCCCTTCAGTGTACAGTCTAGGGAAATTTGGGTCAATAAATTTTAGCTCATGTAATACACATACATGGCAGACCTTTGGAGAAGGTACAGCATGGCAAGCATTTTCAGCCTGTTTTCCATACCTGGATGGTGTCCTGCTGCTGTATCTAAAAGGTTCATAGTAAAACAGTCTGCCAATCTCAGCTGGAACCAAAGCTGTCCCAAAACCAGGTAATTTGCCTTGGACACACTGCTGCTGACAGGGGGAAAAGCCATGAGCAGGCAGGGAGCAGCGTCCCCGCTGAGTCAGCCAGTGCCCAGGGCCCCCCTGAGCTGCTCCTAGGATACTGGGCTGACCAGGTTTGCCAATATTGCACAACCCCTGGGGAGATGGGGTGATGAGGGAAAAGCATTGCACTGGGCACCTGAATGCATCTGAGCCTTTCAGCAGCCTCCCAGTATTGCAAAATCCACACTCATATAATATGCAAGTAGTAGGGTTTCTAATTTAGAATCTGCATTGGAACAAGAACAGAGAAGGCATTAAAGGGTACTGGCTTAACCTGGCACAAGTCTGCATTCAGCCAGGTAAGACTGTTGCCATGCCCAAAAGAAACTCCCATCAGAGGCTCTGAGCACCATTTTCCCCATTTTCCACAGGAAAAAGTCTGAGGCCAGGACACACCTTACATCTCTAGGGCATAGTTAGCAGCTACAAAGAACAACTCAAGGAGCAATCATAAACCTGCCCCCAGCCCAAATGCAGCAATGCTGATGCTCTCTCCAGACAGCTCAGCTGCAAACACGGCTCTGGGGGACCACAAGGGAATGGCTGCTCCAGTGGGAGCTGTACCCAACACAGAGGAGAGCCCTGCAGAAGTGGGGATGAGCTGCAGGGACACAGGCTGTGGAGTCTGTAGTGGGAGTTTGTGTCCTGTTGGAAGAAAATGGGCAGAATCTGAACCAGAACCTGCCTGAGAGCGAAAACGGGATGGGCAGCAGAGCACAGTAGAGGCTTGGAGGGCAGCAAAATTGGGGTGGGTGCTGAGAGAAGGAAATGCTGGCAGAACACGGGAGGGAAGCACTAGGAAACAAGTTTCCATTAACTTCACCTCCTAACCTCTAAATGTCTAAAAATCAGCCATCAGTCAGTGTGTGAGCCATTCAATTGTGGCTGTCAGTAGTCAGCAAGACACATGTAGGAGGAAGACAGGCACTGAGAGCTCAGCACAACAAGAACCGAGTCAGAGGAGCTACTTACCTGAGCCATCAGTCCTGGGAGATGCTTACCTGCAGCTGAGGTACAGGAAAAGAACGATTTTCATACAGGCTAAAGAGACCCATGGGAATCAGGTGTCGTTTAGTAATGACAGCATTCCTACCTAGGAAGAGAAAGCAGCCAAAAAAAGCAGTTATATTAGATCAGTATTGGCAGTGCTGCTGAGAGAAACAGCCCAGGGGAGGGAGAGCATTTTTTGGGCAGAGTCCTGGCTACTCAAAAAGGGGCTGGGGACTGTGAATATTTCAAGTGTGATAAACTCAGTATCACAGGAAAAGGACCTTTACCCTGCCTTGAGAAAGGGGGTCACCTGTCAGAAATACCCACCTCCTCCACCAAAGGCGACACCCTCAGGAGCTATTTCCATCTGCAAGTGGTGATGGGGTAAGTGATCTGCAGGTTTTTTTCAGGTGAGAGGCCTTTGAGTTAACAGCAAATACAAGCCTGCTGTGTTAAATGAACTTTATTCCATTTACAAAACAATATGAGCTCCTCACACTGCCACTGAGTCGCTGCATCTGTCAGGTCAAACTGTGTCAAAAGGTCTCTGACTCACTTCTTGCATCAGACCTGTAAGAAAATGAACCAGGGATGATCTTTAATATCTCAATCAGCCCCATAATCCTCCATAGATCTCCAGCCTAAATTCATCTCTCTCTGGCAATCTCTTTGGGAGCCAAATTTGAGGCTAATTCTGTGCCTCATTCAGTGCAAATAGTGTGTGGGGAATGACAATAGTTATCACTCGAGGAGGTCAGCGAAGGAAAAAGGGGTTAAGGGATACGCTCTGGGATTTAAGGGATACTGGAAGCCAGAGCATGTTGTATTTAGATGGGAGTGCTGGTGCTCAGGAAAGCATCACAGGACACATCTCAAAAAGGATTGCCAGACCTGTGATGGACTTGGTGAGCCCATCGAGGAAACAGAATCCAGCCCTGATGGAGAGGGAGGAAATTGGGGGTGTGGGAGTGAAGGGAGTAACAGGAGCCTGGGGGTGGAGTGTGAGAAAAGCGGTAGGAAACGTCCGGGGCTTGTAGTTGTGCAGAGGGAGCCTCTGCCCACGGCAGGGGACTGGAGCAGGGAGGACAGGGAACAGTGGAAGAGCCACATTGCTTGAGCAATGCCTTTGCCTGATCTCTCAAGAACTGGAGACTAGGATGAGACCAAGGAACTGCCAATCTGGAACAGAGCAGAGGTGCCTGCAGTCAAGTACCTGGCTTCCAGCAGAGCTCAGAATTGGATGCTTTAGGGCAAAATCTTTGGTATCATCCCAGTTCCAGGAGGAGTGCAATACACTGAGTGTTTGCTCCCTTTGAGATGGCTACAGAATCGTGGCAGGGCAGACAGGCTATTCATAAGCATATCAGGTGTCAGCTGAGCTCTTTGCACTTGCTACAGATCATACATCAAGTCTAATGAGAAGGAATACAGGCTGAGGGGAACAAATGAGCACAGGTTAACAAAGAGGTATCCTCTTAATACAATACATATGGGGAAGAACAGCAGCTGGCCCTGTGCACAGCACTGATACATGGCCTTTGAAAGCTGAGCAAGATCACTTTACAGGCAACATGGTGAGAAGGAAGGGTTGAGAATGCTGTTTGTGATGATGGTTCTGCATTATTAGGCAGAATTGTTTTTACCTGAAAAAACCTGTATCCAAACCTATTCATAGAAGTTTCATTATGCTATCTTCTAAGGACATCCTGTGCCTAACAAAATAATAAGCCACCAGAAGGGTTAACTCTTTCTGTTTCCAAACCCTCTATGAGAGAGCTAGAACACAGATTTAAGAACAGACAAAAGATGATAGTTGTTTCAATTAATGTTTCAGCTAGCATCTGCTCTTTTTAATTAGTTGAAGTCTGGTGTTGTCTGGAGACAGAACTGCTGAGTAGAACTCTGCAGGCTTCCTTTCTGCTTAGCCAGCTATTCTGGTCCCTCTTGGTCCCTCTTGGTCTTTAGAAGCTTCTTCTCCATTTCAAAAAGGCCAGAGCCTGTTGTGCACTGACACTCTGTGCCCACAGACCTTGTATACGTTTCACTGCAATAGGTTTCAAATCTGTGTTTCCCCCGGAGGGAAAACTGACAGAGGAAGATACCTTACAGATGTCCTCTCCCCCTCCCAGACATGTGTCTGTGCACTACTTCGCTTATCAAAACTCAGTTTTCTTCCACAAACAGGCATTGTCATAGAGTAGATGCAGGTGGATGGAGAAGGGTTCCCCAGGACCTGTTAACCTTCCTGTTTTGCTGGAAGCTCGCTGATCCTTCACCTCACTCTTTGTAACATGACCTTTGAGGATCTGAGTGTTTCAATTACACACAGATGAATAATTTACAAGTCACAGTTGTTGTAATAAACAAGTTCTTCTGCTCTGTCCAAACACTCAACATCTAATATTAAATTTCCCTCAATTTGCAAAAACCTCCAGGACTTAAACAGCACTCAAAAATGTTTGGAGGAGAAGCTGATGAGGGAAGAGCAGGGTGGCATTTCACAGCAGCAAACAGCACTGGCAGCAAGTACTCCTCTTATCTCCAAGCAGGGCATTGACCTGTTGTACAAACTCCAGGTAGGAAAGCCAGTGGTAAAGCAACCCCAGATGTAATATTTACCCAAGAAGAGACATTTCAATGGAAAACAAGCTACAGGATCTGCTGACATCCTGGTAGGGAGAACAGCGGTCATTCACACAGGTGCTATTCCCTCACAGCCAAGGGAATAGGAATGGGATGTGGAATTTCCAAGCATTTCTAAGTAATAAAGCTGTTGTTTCATGAGGAGCATGTTTGTGCTGTCCATGATTCCAGCTAAACAGATGTAAAATGTGGATTTGGTTATTGTCCCACCAGAGATCCACCAGCAGAGTCACTTTGTTTCCTTGTGCCCTGGTATTCCATACTTCAAATAAAGATGCAAACAGGCAAATCCTGCAAGAAAACAGCCAGGCTGGCACTAAACATTCCTGAACCACTGCACCTGGTACCCAGTGATGCCTCATTCTCTGGCAAAGGGAAGTGGATCCCATGAGCTACCCGGGGAACAAGAGCCACAGTTTTAAATTACAGATAATAGTTCCTATACAAGATTCTCTGAAGAATAAGATAGACAGGATCAAAACAGCTCAGAAGCAAAGCACATAACAGGGCTGTTTTTATCTTTAATCCATTCCACATGAGCAGAAAGAGTTTGGAGCCATGAAGCATGTGCTTCCTTTTGCAGCTCAACCCATAACTTTACTAATCCTTTTTGCTCTGCTCCATAAGCCTTTGTTGAAGGAAATTTGTGTGCAGGACTTGCAGGATCAGCCTGTCTTACCAGCTGCAGCTTCATTATCTTCCTAAGGTGACCAAAACATAGGCTGTCATTGAAAGGGGCAATTCCAACAGCCCCAAGCCCACATGTCCCTCTTCCTCAAGCCATCACAATGATCATAATAAAAAGGGATCTTTTCCTCAGGCAGGGTATTTTTCAGCTGGATCAGTTCCCATGCAGTCACAGCAGTTGAAGTTTTGCCACAAGGAAAGGGCCAGGAAAAAGGCTGGAACTGTGCCTCAAGAGCTTAATGCAAAATCATGAAGTTAAAGCCTCAGGTTCCTGGGTCATTTGTCCCTGCAAATAGCCTGGATTTATAGTCCAGCTTAGGAAAGTCTCCTTGGCTGCAGCTTTGTGGCTCTTTTTACAATGGGCCAAATGCAAACCCCTAGGTCCCCAAAGTCCGGAGCTCTGAGCGAAGTCTGGAACTAGTTACAGTTCATAGTTGGGGGTCAGGCCTAAGTGGTTATTCAGTACTGGCCTTGAAATTGCAGCCATATAATTCATTTGTATTCTCATCAGAGAAAATCAGTGGGGTCACCCCACTGAGCCCAGGCTCAACCTCCCAGATCTCACTCTCCATTGTCTGGATCCATCCTTAGAAGTTTTCAAATGAGCTGGACAAGGCCTTGAGCAGCCTGACATGACTTTGAAGTTATCCCTGCTTTGACCAGGAGGCTGGACTAGAGACCTCCAGAGATCCCTCCCCAATGCCATTATTCTGAGATTCTTTCATCTTCCACTGCACCTGCATCAGGCTCTGCCACACCACCACCAACAAGCAGTCCCCACACTGACTGAGCCACACGTCAGGGAGCCCAAGTCAGCTGGCTCTTCATGGCCTTGGCTGCATTAGCCCGGAGCTGGAGCAAAGCACAGACTTATCTGTGTGCAATGGTCTCAGCACACATCAGAATAAGCTTTACATTGCAAAAGAAACTGTCCCAGACCTGGCTGGGATCCCAAGGTGAAGATTGCAGAACGTTTTCTCTTTTTCCCGGCAGGAAGAAGTCTGCATCCTCAGCAAGAACAAGTGTGAAATACAAATCACTGAGCACTTGCTGCTTGTTGTCCAAGTCATTACACAGCACAAGAGTACCTGCAGTGAAAGGGCAGATGATAGGGGCTATCTTGTCACTTCTGTGTGGCCCTTCAGAGATTTTAGCAGTTTTCATCCACTAGATTGAAATCTAAGCAGTTGAAAGAATACCACACATTCATTTCAGATGAGACATCCCAGGAACACACTGGGGCTGGGCATCAGTGGTAGCAAACAAAGACCTGAGTAGGTTCTGCTCCATCAGCTTGTTTGCAAAGGTGGGAGGTCTTCTTTCAGAGCCCCGCTCTGGAGTCACTTCTCCTTCAGCCCAGAGGATGGACCAGGGTTTCTTGGTGCTCGTCAAGCCTGGAGACCTCATCTATGAGGTGAAAGGGGCGAGAGTGGGACAGAGCCAAATCCCCAGTCCCGGCAGTACAGGGCTGCTGCCATCTCGTGGCTGCCTCTGGACATGCAAAGATTACCGGGGATCCGGTAATCCCAGCTGGAAAATTTTCCATTGAGATAAAATCCTTCCTGGAAATAAGCTTCACCTGGAGAGCAGGGGGTAAACAACAGTCCCAGTTGTTAGAGCCTGTGGGGCCATAGCACTTGGGTACCACAGCTTTGCTGTTCCTGGGAGGTCTAATGCTCACTTTCTTCAATAGCTGCTCACCTGGTTTGGGATGGCTCCACCTCAGGCTGTAGTGATGCTTTTTACATCAGGCCAGCACTTCCCTGTACCCTATGACCTAAGGAGACAGGAGACATTCCTGTTGCTGTTGAAAGGCCCCGGATTTGCTGTGCTGACGAGCAGTCAATTTGTGCGGCCGTTCAGCCTGGCCTTCACGATGGTTTGGTGCTGGGAAGGGAGATGATCTGCAGGGAGACATGCTGGGGTCAGGTGGGATGGATATGGTATCCAGTACTGTTTCTTTTGGCATCTTTTCATTGACCTGTGGTGCTGATGGAGGGATTTATAGTCTGAAAAAGGTAAAAATGGAGGAGAACCACACGGTCGCTCTTTCTTCCCCTTTCAGCCTCCCTGCAGAGCTCAGCACCCTGCACAGAACTCAACATAAGTGTGAGAGCAGCCACATATTCTCCATGGGATCTCCAAAACTATCTACTTCCCCCCAGGCAGGAGACAGGCAGGAGAACAGTGTCCCAGAGAGACCCAGCAGCAGAAAAACTTCTACTGACAGCTCACCAGAGACCATACTGAAGCAGAGAGCTGGCTGCACTGCCTTCAGCAGAGCTCTTGCAGGTGTTGTCTTGTGGACATTCACTTGAGGATACCTTCTTCTTCATTGGCTTTAATCATGGGAATAGGCTCCAACTTCCTCTTCTCCCTCCTGGGATTCTCCAGGTTCTGCAGTTGCACAATTCACAGGGAAAGAGCAGAACAAGAGCTCCAGGGAAAGAAAAATCTGCCAATCCCTTTGGTATTTCTGTGGTGTTTGCTGGTGGCTGCCAGGCTTTTCTCTCTGGCACATATTGTGGCTCACATCACAGAAACTAAAGTGAAATACTGAAATAAATGAGTCCCCTTGAGAACACTCTGGACAATGGGGAGATGACTGCTCAGTGACCTGTGCAGCATCCTGGGTACACGGGGAATTTCCTGTAATGATAAGACTACAAAGGAATATTTATTTATCTAGATACTTATTCAGCTTTCATCTCTGTCAGCATTTCTCAATCAGCCATTTCAAAATGTTTTGCCATCACTAATTAACCCTCACAGCACCTCTGTAGTAGAATCAGCATCCCCGCATGCCCATGGGGTGACCGAATGGAGAAGTAATCCCTTCATGAAAAAAACTAAGCAAAGAAATTATGATATCTTGAAATCCTAATCCTGTGCCCTAACAAAATCACCCCCTACAAGTCCCAAAATCTCAGACATCCTGTTGGAAACATAAGCAGCTACCTGCCTTTCTTACCATGACAACTGCCTGACTTTCTCAGCTGGGCACCGAGGAAGTACTGTCCAAACATTTAACAATCCCAAAAACTGGGGTGCCCTGAAGTGCCACTACAGAACCCAGAAACCCTTAAGGACCTGCAGGACTGGTCAGCTGCACAGCCTGTGCCAGCAGGCAGATTTTTCCCATGATGTTGCACATGCTATTTATTCCATTCATTAACCAAGTAAATGGTGGCTAACAATAGACCCCAGATGTCCTTCTGGCCTTAAAAACTTCTTTGCCCTCAAGGAAACACAAAGCCTAAGTGGGTCATGGCATGTGTAGGACACAAATAGTGAACCCAAGCTATGAAGAGCTTGCACATTTCCAAGAATTCACAAAATGCATCTCAGCTTTTCAATAACCTCTGTTCCACTTCTGAGAAATAAGTGGTTAGCAAGGATAGTTCAGAACAGAGCAATGGATATATAAATGTATAATTCATTGATATAGAGATTATGCCAGACAGAGACAGAGCTGTTCAAATGTCTTCAGTTTCTGTTGTCTATTTCTGTGATGTTACCACTGCAGCAAACTCTCAATTCTGTAATAAACTGGTATTTCTGAACAAAGGCTATTTCATATTATGCCTTTAGAAAAATGCATCTTTAGTACAATTTAGTCCTGATTTTTATTTTGGTTTTGGTAACAGAAATTATTCTATAGTGTCATTTTTTATACATACTCCCTGATACATTTGGGAAATTTCCCAAAACATACTAAAGATAGCACTGTGGTTTTCTGCATCACTGCTCAAAATCAAAGCATTCATGGGCAGAATAAAGAAAAATTTCTTCCTATATAAGCATTTTTCTTCTGTTGCCTGAATTCAGTCTCTTGATAATCAGCAATTAGAGAAAAGAACTATAACAATCAAATGGGAGTTTGCACTTACAGAAATTCAAGCTATTTATTGCACCAGTTATTCAGACACAGAAAGCTGTTTGAAAACCTCTCAGTAAATGAAAGAAGCTGCTATTTCTGAAAGCTGAAATTGTATTAATAGAGATTCTAAAGAGTCTAAAGAAGAACACAATCCATTTGGAACTGATTTGGTCTTCTGAGAAACCAGAAAGAGTAAATAGGGGGATTTAAGGATCTTCCCCTCTGTGAAAACGTATCACTCTTTTTCAACTGATATCCAGTCTCCAAACTGTGACTGTTCACACTTTACAAGCAGAAAGACCAAGGCAGAGGCTAGAAAATGATAAACTATGATCATTTCCACAACCAGGGGCTCCAGCTCTCATTTCCTCAACCTTTTGCTTGCAGACATGGAATTAAATACTCAATTCTTGGGCCTCAGGGACAGAAATAATCATAGAATAGAATCACAAGATCATTAAGGTTGGAAGAGACCTTCAAGATTATCGAGTCCAAATGTTGACCAAACACCACCACGCCAACTGAACCACAGCACTAAGTGCCATGTTGAACACTTTCAGGGATGGTGACTCCACCACTTCCCTGGGCAGCCTGTTGCAATGCCTGACCACCCTTTCAGTGAAGAAATTCTTTCTGAGAAGATGAATAATGGATAGAAAACCCAACAAGCCCAGGGAGATCTCTCACAACACAGCATTTTCCTTCATTTTCCAGGGGAGTTCAAACCAACATCTGATTTGAACTCCAGCAAGCTGCCTGCTCAGAACACCTGCTCATGTGTCCGCATTGCAGCCAGACATCCTGGGAGTGTCCAGGGACAGGTTAGACGGGGCTTGGAGCAACCGGGTCTAGTGGAAGATGTCCTTGCCCATGGCAGGGGGTTGGAACCAGAGGATCTTTAATGTCCGTTCCAACCCAAACCGTTCAATGATTCCACGACCCCTCCCGTGCCTGTGTGCTGTCGGCTGCCGCCTGGCAACGGGAGCGCGGGTTTCCATGGAACCGCAAACAGAGCCGGCGGCGCCTCTGCCCCGTCCCGCTCCGACCGCGGCTTCCCGGGGAGAGGAGCCCGCAGGACCCCTCCTTTGGGTGAGAAACCAAAAAATACAGGGGAGGGGCAATCGCAGCAACTTCTTTGCAGTTTGTGACATCAGATACTGTCTCAGTCGGACTAGCGGAGGTGCTGGCCCGTGTCCCCGAGAAACCACACGCACTCACCGCCTGCTTCTCCATGGCTGGTGGGGGGGTGTGCCAGGGACAGATGTGTCCCATCCACACACCCACCTGTGTGACACGACCTGCTCTGCAGCGATGGTGTCATCTAAATCATCTGAGTGTATAAAACACACTCACCCAATGCTTTGGGAACATGGTGGATGGATTTACTGCATTTTTTTTTTTTTTTTTTTTTTTTTTTTTTTTTTTTTTTT